ATCTACGCTGTGTCCTTTAAAAACCATCCATAACGTGAAACACAAACTTCGGAGCACCAGATTAGAAACTTCAAAGCCATCCCTGATTTTTTTGTTTTCCTGTGCTCAGGTCTGCCTTTGGGATTTAGTTGTCATTCCCCCCTTGCAGAACAGCCATTCTAAAAGTGGCACGTCTCCCCTTTTTCAGGGGGAACTGACCTGTATTGAGATGATCCTGAACAGCTTTGTGGCCAGATGACAACACATCTTTCCCACTGACACTCTTCAGTCCCTCTCTTGCTAGTCTCAGAAGATATACATTGTAGTGAAACAGCTGTAAAGAATAAACTGTACGCTGACTCTTAATGCATTTCATTTATAGAGGTGCCTTTTTTGTGTGTGTTTGTGATTACAGGCCTTGTAATTTTACAGCTGACATGAAATTACGATCTCCGTGCTGTGGCAAAGGATAAGAAAGACGAGGGAGGAGGTACAGGAAAGCAATGAGAAGAGAAACGTGAAAAAACAGTCACTGGCTTTGCCTTCTGTGCAGCTTCTCAGGTGTTGAGAGGGTTTTCTCAATGACAGCAAGGGGGTGGTGCTGGCAACTGCAGGATTCCTTTCCCCTGAAAGGGGCTGGGCAAGGAAGAGCAGCCCTGGGAACAGACTGGCAGTGGAGGGGGTTTGTGTGGAGCTAGGAGCTGTCAGGGGCATTTGTGAGAGGTGGGTGCTGGTGGGTGGTCTGCTGAGCTCTCAGGGCTTGGGGCTCAAGAAACGTGGCACAAAAAAGGGCAGCACAGAAAGCAGAGCAGGCCTTGGTGGATGTGAGCAGATAACTGCAGTGATAACAGCACATTATCCGAGTAAATTAGGCTTCAGAAATTTGCCATTGAAAAGCAAATTTCCAGGCACGTGAGAGCGGTATTAAGATAGGAGATAGAGCAGTGTAGGGCTGCATCTAAAAAATCCTCTGGCTCCAGCAGTGTTTGTGAACTGGCAAAGTGCAATATGAGAGAAATTTCATAGGGGTCACTTTGGAGGCTTGCAAGAGCCTCCAGTCCTGGTGTGCTCTCCTAGTTGCCTTGGCTTGAGAAGTCAGCAGGAGTGCTAAGGCTACAAGATACCCAGTTTCTGGCAGGCTGCATCTCTTTGTTGGTCACTTCATTAGGCAGAGCAATAAAAACAAGCACAGACGTAAGCAGTAAGGCTTTGGCCTGACCATAAGACTTTCTCAGCTGTAAGAATAATTGTAGAAGAGCAGACTAAGGGAAATATTTTTGCTTAATAAGTTACAGCAACTCATCAGTCACATATCATACAACACACAATTTTATAAACTGTTGCACTTTGAGTGGATATAAATGGATTGTAACTGATAAGCCATAAAAAATTAATAGTTACTTTAAGATTTTTAATGGAATAAAAAACACTGCAGTAATGAAAAAGTTGACATTTTAAAGATTGATAAAGCAACAGAATCATCAGAAAAATGTATTAGCAGAACAGCTAGAGATGTACTCTTGCAGTATAACAGACATATCATCAGAAGACAGCAAATGTAACAGGATGAAGGTAACCTGAAATCCTGGAAATTGAAATCAGGAGCAAGTGAATATGTAAGAGATTGAAGGAAGAAGGTATTATCTGAAAATGCTTGGAAGCTAGTGCTTTGGCAGATTTGCATTTCTTGATGCTGTTGATCTGGTCTTTAGCATGTATGATAGTATTCAAAATCTTCTCACTACAGGCTTGCATGGTGAGAGTAAAGATCTGAACCTGTGCAGTTTCATTGGGATTTGCTATTTAACGTATTTAATTGGCCATTTTCCATTCAAGTTAAATGGGAGTTTTATAAACCTCCAAGTCATTCCCTTTTCATGAATTCCATCTTCCTCTGCCCTACAAGAAGGGTGTAACCATTCGCTCATGACAGAAAGAATCAAAGGAGAAGTCAAACAATGTATGGCCTAATCAATATCGGTAAGCGAATGTCACTGATTAATTGATTTACGTCCTCCAAGGAATTTCTCATTGCAACCGGTTACCATAATGAGTGGTCAGCAGAGCAGAACCGATCTAGACAGAAGATAAAGGCTTTTGGTAAAAATGAGCCCTTTTCAAATGTAAATGAAGAAAATACTGGAACAAATGGCTATTTTAGTCTTTCGGTAGATGCAACTTCCTTTCTAAATCAGCACTGGTATTTCCTTAAATTAAGAAATGCAGTAAACACTGGAATTATTAATGACATTATATAACTGTACCACGGCTAGTTATCTTTATAACCCTCTAATTTTTAAGGACTTGTTTACTGAAGTCAACAGTAAAATCCTATTAATAATTAAATACTTAATTTTCTTTAAAGAGAAAAAATAAGATAAACACTCTATTTTCTTAGGTAATTCATGGTTATGAATTGAATGGCTCTGTTTAAAATCAATGTTAATAAATAATGCATAGCATTCTTTTTCAGCCACCCTATAAATATAAAGCTGATTGAAGAAAACAGAAAACATACTAAGGGAAATATATCTTCAGGCAGTGATAAGATTTCTGTGGGTATGTTCCAATTTATATGAAATTGATTTCACACTTGCACTGGTGAAAGCAGCTTTGTATCAATCAAACAAACAAATACAGGAGCAGGTGAGCACTTAAATAAAACTTTTCTCTTGCTTGGTTGCTGCTGAAGGCCCCTGTTGTTAAGAGCCTGTCTGACGCTCCTTTGCCATGCATACAGTTCTTAGTAACTTCACAGTACAGGGCCCTCATTTTGCAGCTGTTATTCTGGACAGCTCCTTCTGCATTCCGTGTATCCCATGGAGTGCTCTCTTCCTGTTCAGAAGATGCCTGCCTGTGTAAGGATGGCACTTCACAGAACTGAGGCAGGGAAGGTGTTATGAAGGTACTGCTGGTGAACACTGGCTGAAAGGGAAGCACCACGGGGCAGGAGGAAGGAGGAAATCCAAATGCTATTTTGGGCATGTAGGTAAGGGAAGTTCTGCAGGGGTCCTGGCTGGCAAACTTCAGAGTCCCTGAAGTTTGGATCACCAAGGTTATTAGGGCTAAAAGTCTCAGCTGATGAAAATCAGGATGGATCCAGTTCAAAATCAGGTTCAGAATTTTGCCGTCAGGTGATCCAGGTAACTTTTGGTTATTACACTAGGCATAAAAGATGGTGTGAATCTGGTCAGGAGGTTCTGCTGTCTTGTCCCCATCCTGTCCCATCCCTGTCCAATCCCTCCCTAAAAGCTCTAAGAAATGAACTGAACAGAAAATTGAGTAGTTTTTGGTCAGCCATATATGCACAGATGCTGTTAACATGCCTGATTCTGTTAGTTGTGTCAATGTAAACCTAAACACACAAAAAAAATAGTTCTGATTGGCACTGATGAGCAGCAAGTGTAATCTGTGAAACAGTCTGTGCAGCTGAAGACATGGAGAGTTACAGGTGACAGCCTTTGAAGCAAAGTACAGCTCATCTCTTGGAACATGCAGCAACTCTTCTCAGAGAAAATAAAACAAATAGTCTAGTTCTGTAGGTAATTTATGTTTACAGTTGAAGGTGTATGATGTTGGTCATAAGGTGAAGGGTGTTTCTCTTTTTTAAGAAGGAATTAAAAGCTAGGGCAAAAATGTGAATCCCTTGAGACTGACATTGAGGTGCTCAGCACTTGAGGTGTGTGCTCAGCTGTATAAGTAGGTGTTTGGTTGAGGGTAAGAGAGTGTCATCTCTGAACCAGGGAAGGTGACTAAGGTGTGGTGTGGGGTGGTGCCTGATGGATGGAGTTTGTGTTTTGGTTACAATAATCCAGAATACTTGAGAAGGTGGTGTTAAAATCAGGTCTGAAATGTGCAATAATATTGGGAGCTGCTGAACAGTGCAGTATTCAGGGAAGGTGTCCTGGTTTAGGCTGGGTAGAGTTAATTTTCTGCCTAGTAGCTGGTGCGGTGCTGTTTTGGATTTAGGACAGAAAAACGCTGAAAACACCCTGATGCTTTCACTGCTGCAGAGCAGTGCTCTCACTGAGTTAAGGACCTTACTCCTCGCCCTGCCTTACCAGGAGGAGGGCAGAGGTGCACCTGGGAGGGGTGCTGGGAGGGGACAGAGCCAGGACAAGGTGACCCCAAGGGATGTCCTGTGCCACATGGGTCTTGCTGAACGATGAACTGGGGGAGTTGGCTGAGGGGGCTGCTGCTGTTCAGGGTCTGGCTGAGCACTGGTCAGCAGGCAGTGAGCAATTGCACTGTGCATCACTTGCTTTGTGTATTCTTTTATCATTATTATTATTATTAACTTTCCTTTTCTGTCCTATTAAGCTTTCTTTATCTCAACCCATGAGTGTTATCTTGTTTCCAATTCTCTCCACTGTCCCACTGCTGGGGCAGTGAGCAAGCGGCTGTCTGGTGCTTAGACGCCTGCTGGGTAAAACCACATGAGACGGCAGTAAATTGTGTAAGGTAACGACCAGATTTATACACGAGGAAAATGGTGAAGAAGAAAAATGCATTTAGGTTAAAAGCAAGCAGTGAGTTTCTGGACAGGTATGAACATAGATCCTGAACAAGGGAAAATGAGGTTGGGAACACTGTGTGAGAACCTGCTATAAAACCAATCTCTCTGCCCTGGAAACCTTCTAGAAGTGACATCAGGCTTAATTATGTGAACGCTCCAAGGTGTTTTATGAAGTTCCAGCACAATTTGTGAAATACTCCAGAAATCACTTCAGACATGAAGTGTCCCAAACTCTCGTTAGCCTGTGAATTTTGAACATGCCAGGCAGTGCTGAGTGTGTCACTTAGGTGAGCACATGGGGCTTGGCCTGAGGAGTACATTAACTAAAAAAAAGAGGATTCTGCAGACAAAAAAGAGTGTAGAGAAGTTACAGGGAAAAACAGTAGGCTTGGTGGTCTGTGCCTTTACAGTATGCTTGGAAAACGAAATAGGGTGGATTTAAACCCCAGCAGTGCTAATGATGAATTCTTCTCACAGTCTGCTCTAATTTTTGCCTTCCAGTTTTATGTTGGACAGCATCTTGAGAAAGTGAACATATGAAGATCAACAGCCTTATGCCTTTACTAGATGCTCAGAAGATATTCTCAGTCTTCTCAAGAGCAACAGCATATGGTATAAAAGAGCAGTTCCAGAATGGCTCGAGAGTCACTGAAACCAAGCGAGGTGAGCAGAGGCACAGAGAAATTGCATGTAGCAGGCAGTGAGTAACTCAGGCTGTAAGAAGTCAGTATGGTGACCAGAGGAGAGAGATTTGAGATACGAGGGACAGGTGGAGATCTCTGCTGGACATGGGGTTTAGTGAGCATTCATTTTGGTGAGCCAGAGAACAGTAGTGTCTGCTGGTGTGCAGCTAAGAGCCAAGCAAACACGTGAAGCTTTTGGATGTGAAGATTCAGAGGTGGGAAATAGATTGTTGGGAGATAGTATAATAAGAATATGATATGATTGTGTCGGAATAACCTTACAGTGGTAAATCAGTTTTGCTGAAGCTAGCCATACATTATATCTTGTTTCCAATTGCTTTACAGGATGTTTTCTTCTCAAAAAGCTGCTTATCAATTGATACTTGTTCATTTATTTATTGGCTTGAAATATTCTCCAGAGTTTTACCTCCTTTTAGGTCTCATCTTTTTAGACAGTGGATTTATGATTAGGACCTAAGCCATGCCTGACTCTTTTCCTATATAAAAGCAGATCCAGTTTCTGTTTGAAGGTATTGAATTACTGATTTGGATAATTTTTACTCTTATCTTCTGATCTTTTAACTCAAAGCCCTCAATGACAAGTGTTTTTTTCTTTTTTCTTTTTCCTTTCTTTTCTTAAGTACTAGTTATTGTATGATTCTTAATCATTATGACTAATTACATTGCTTTCAAGCATAGAATTTCTCAGCATCTCCATGCAGAGGTCAGTAGGAGGGTTACAGCATGAATACTGGTAAAGTGGAGTGCTTTTGTGGTTTCCATTTTCAAAGCATAAATCGAAGCTAAAGCAAAACTTCATTTTCTTTTCATTTTCTTCATTTTCTTGCAGTACAGTTCCTTCACTGCCATTTAGCATGTGACAATGGTGGCCCCGAACCCTGCAGACTCTGAGCTCACGTCATGTCTTAGGGAGTCATCTTTTTATTTTATTTGTTTGCCTCTCTTACATTGTTTTGATGACCTGCGTTTCTTTCAAGGGAAAAAAATAAAAAACAAAACAGATGCTGTTACTGAACAGAGTAGAGGCGGAAAATCACAGAGTAAGGCCAAGGGAAATTTTCAAAGCAGATTGCAGGCATTCTTTGCATCTCTGAAAGATCAACTCTGTTACTCCAAAAGGGTTCTATCATCAGCTGCCTGCTGATAACGAGGTTATTCCAATGGGATAATGTTACTCTGTGGGTCACCTGCTCCCAAGAGGAGGGGTGGAGGAAGGACATTGTCATACCAGCTCTCCTGTAGGCAAACCAGAAAATGAGAAGTTATGAAATTTGTCTTCCATAGAAGCAGGAGGCAGAATACATACATATGTGTTGACTTCCTGCAGAACAGTATTTTTGTCTATGGAATAGGCACATATGGGGGACTTCTGGTGTCTGGTCAATACCTCACTGAGGGTATCATTTTCTGTCTCCTTTAAGGAGGCTGAAGAAGACAGCCATTTTTCCAGGGAAGATGAGGCTTCAGTCTTTATGTCCTTGTGTGTGCTTTTTGCTGACGTGGTCTTTGTTCCCCACTGGTCTCAGGGTCTCAGACAAACTAGGCTTTATGTGCCCATGTAAGGGGACTAGCAGTTGACTCACCAATCTCTCCCTAACCACCTGCTATGTTACACTTTCAAAATGTTCCACTGCTCTACTTGCAGTATCCTAGCAAGCTAGCAGAGGGAGCAGATGAATAAGATTAATGTCACCCCTGGTAGAACCTCCTATTTCCTTAATTAGTACAAACATTAGGAGAACCAGCAGTGATTCCACTTCTCTCAGATTCTGATGTTATAGGTACCAAAGTTGTCATCGCCATTTCAGTGGCCTCAGGAGTCTGCTCCCCCCAGCAGCTCCTTGCTTTGTTCCTGCCCAGTCGGCTTTGCAGCATCTGCTCTTACGGGACAGGTTGTAGGGCCGAACGGAAAGGCATGTTCTCCCCTCTCCCCCGGACAGATACTGGTAGAAGCTAATTGAAACTGAAGAATTCCATGTGGATTGCCTCAAATTTATTTCCTGCTCAGTTGTTCCAATTTCAGCTTCTTTTCACTGACAGTGTCAGAATCACTGTCAGTTCCCATCCCACCAGCAAAACACTCTAAATGAAAATTAAGATGGGTAAACAGGAAGGCTTTTAAATCTTTTTTTTTTTTTTTTTTTTTTTTTGCAAGAAGATGGACACGAAAGGGCACAATTTTTTCACCCTAACATGTTGCTTTCAAGGTGAAATTGATGAGGCTGATTTTTTAAATATATTTTTTAAATCTGTGAATCTGTTTTACAGTGTAGGATTTTTGTTTGCTTTACAGTGGTCTGTAGTCCTGAGAGGGTTTTGCCCTGCTGCTGGAGAAAACACTAGCCCCAGACTAATGTGGTTGTCGAAGAACATAATTAGATATTAAGGACATCGTTACAGCGATTTGGTAAATGAAATTTGTGGAGCTCCCCTTACTTGAAGATCAGTTAACAGTTCAATGTTTATCCTACTGATAAGTCAGGGGGAGAAGAATCCCACCCCTGTGCTACACATGTCCGTGTGCATGGGGTTTGTGTGTTGGGTTTCAGTGAGAGTATTGCTATGGCTTAACTGAGACACTTTGCTGTGGTACAGCTCAGTGAAATGGACTTTGGAGCTTAATCGCTTCATGGAAAAAAACACAGGTGTTGTGGTCTTAGTGCAAGAGTGAGCTGCCTGAGGGGAGATACCTGCATATCTGTGTAGTCCCATTACTCTTCTTAGATAAGAGTAAGTCATTCTATTTTTGATGGAGGACTGAATTTTTGAGAACGACAAGTTTTGAAAAAATGTTAGTTTTTATAGATCTTTGTGAAGAACAAAACGCTTTATGTCATGTAATGTTTCATCATTTGTAGGATTTTCATTTGGAACTTCAAACTAAGCTTTTCATCCTTCTCTTTTTATTTTTGTATGATATGAGTTACCATTCCTCATTTCCAGTGAGAATGAATTTCAGGTGAACTGCCCTCCTTCTCTGCAGCTTTACTTTTTTATGTGAAACTGTGACAAATTGCAAAATCTATGATTTTTCTAAAGCAACTAAGAAACCGTTAAGCTTTAACTGAATTTTGGTGATGTTTCAGAGTAAGTCTTGTGTGTTTTCCTTTATAGGCATAACTCACAGGGATGTAACAATCAGCTTGTGAAGTATGGATAGATTAAATAGTTTCATGTAGCTAAGAAGCTGGCAAGAGGACCTTTGGGTGGCTGTATTACATTTCTTATATACTGAGTTCCATTTTGGATCAGTAATTAAGGGGTGACATCACTCCTACACTCAAAACTAGACCATTACTTTGTAAGCACTGGGGAGCTATCACACAAGTTCTGGAAATCCTACAAAACTGGAATAACTGACTAGTGCATCTTGAGGAGATTGAGCAAAGAACAAATGTTCAAAGCAAGCTGTCATTCGGTCTGTGTTCCTGTGAAGTACTCACACATCATTAGATGGGCTAATGCTACATTTGTTGAAGGCAAAGAAAAATAAAATTAGAAATTGCTTAAAGTGGCATTTCAGCCAACTTAAACATTTTCTTTTGAGGGCTCAGCCTGTGTTTTACCATCCCATTTTACTTTGTCTAGAGTGAACTTAGTTGAAACGTCTCATGTTATAAGTAAAGCTCACTTGTTTCTGAAAAGGAAAAGCCTCTTGGGAACCAAGAGAATTTTTGAAATAATGTGACAGGGGTATGACTAATATGTGCTATTAAAATCTGATTTCTTTGGGGGAAAAAGGTTCAGTGTGAATTGTAGAGTAAATGCCTGCATCTTAAAAGCCTGTAATAAGAAATTGAAGCAAAGTTTCATGTCACTTGACAGTGAAAGCTTGTAAAAGATTTTGTCTTCTGAAGACTGATCCCAAATAAATTTAAAATCTCACTTAAAATAGCAGAACAGTTCATGTGCCAGGAAGGCATATGGAGGCCAGTTTGAAAATTATGAGAAAGAATCTAGAAAGAAATGACAGATAGGATTTGGGGAAAAAATGTATTGTCTCGCAGTGTTGGATGAGGTATATGGTACGTGACTAGCCTAAGCAAACCACTGAGAGGGCAAGACACGTGCACCAAATTCCCATGTTTGGCATGTTTTTTAAAAAAAATGAAGACATAAATGAGTTGAGCAAGAATTTTACCAGTTACTGTTGAAGAAATGGCAGAAAGAGCAAGTAAAGGAAGAACCAAGGAAGTTCAGTAAAATTACCCAAACCATTCACTCTCCCATATGCTGTGGAATCGTGATCGTCTGATCTCGCTGTTCATTTAGTACTGCTTGATTTCTTCGCATTGCTTAATAAAATAAGCATTCAGAATTACAAAATGCAAACTAGCTGGTTACCAGTTTATTTTGCAGTACTGATCTGACTGCAAAATAGTAAGAACTTTCTCTGAGCAATTTGGACAACTCCCTCTCTGGGCCAAGTTGGAAGCAGAGTCCTGAGGTCCTGGTGCAGCCTGAAATATCTATCCTGTGGTGCTAAATGTGTGCTTGCATTAACATCAGCATAGCACAGTTATGTTCAAGTACTCTAGAGGTGCTGAGCAAGGAAAACAGTGATAATGGCCTCCTAACAAGTCTTTTTTTTTTTTCCCCCACTCAAAGCCTTGTTTCAGACAAATCCTGAACAGGATCATATCTCTTCTCAAGGAAGAAGCAATATGCTGTAGCACGACCAGTGCATACTGTGGAAGGCAGATGGATTTTGTGGTGTGTATTGAGCACAATGTGCAAACTTGTAATGTTTTTCTCAGTCATTGGCATGCCAGAAGTTAATTTTTTTATATTTTCTTCTGTCTCAGTGCCTGCATTAGTGATAGTGTTTGCGTTAATTGGCATGAATAAAATCAAGCTCAATTTCCAGGGTGAAATGGCTTTGCTTGCTACAGTGGGGTCAGTCCACTTGTGGCATTAGGACCTGCTTGTGGAGATATTCTCCACTGATCTCCAGCCTTT